TGAGAGCAAAAAAATCTATTCCAACCAGGGCCACTGTGTGGAGTTTGCACAGTCTCCCCACGTCTGCATGGGTTTTCTCCAGGGACTTCGGTTTCCTCCCACATCCCAGAGATGTGCACATCAGGGGTAAGCTGGTGTGTCTAAATTGTCCCAGTCTGAGTGGGTGTGGTTGTGGATGTGAGTGCACCTTGTGATGGAAAGACATCCTATCCAGTGTGGACTCCCACCTTGCACCTTGAGCTGCTGGGAGAGGCTCCAATCATTTATGATCCTGAACTAGAATAAGCAGGTTGGAAAATTATCTTGTTTCTATTAATTTTTCTTAAATGTATGCACAATTCACATGTATTTCAGTATTTAATATTAGAGGTGTTTGGGGGTTTTGTTTAAAAGTTTGGTGATGTATCTGTGACCAGAAATATGTCATAGGACCTTAACTCTTGTTTATGTCAATTAGCTGATGGTAAAATTGGTTTTGCTCTACATCATTTCGCTGCAAGTCGCAGTTTCCGAGACCTTTTTCAACGGTGTTAAATGAGGACTTACATATATATATACGGTTTGGTATTATATGTAGTTTCAAGCATCCACTGGGGGACCTTAGAACATATACCTGCAGATAAGGGGGCACTCCTATAAGTCAATCACACCTAAATTTTTAAAAAGCTCAAAAAAAAGCAGAACTTCATGCTCAATTTTGCTGTGAAACTAAAACTGCTTTAAAAATAATGAAGTTTGTTAATTTAAAAAACACTAAACTATTCTATGGTATTGTGATCAAATTATGTTACATTTGGGAATGTGGGAGGGAGTAACAACTGAGAAGAAGGATAAGGTAGGCTTTTGGGGTTGTACTAGTACTGCTCTATTTCTTGACCTAGGTGGTAGTCACATGAGTGTGTTCACTTTGTGATAATTCAGTGAGCCTTACACTTAAAATACATTACTTTTCTGTACACATGTAGTAAGTCAGTAAAAAATTTTAATATACAGATAGCAAATCTTCTCTGATCTTTAATAAAAGCCAGTCCACTAGAAGTATGTATAAAACATCACCCAAACTTAAAGAATCCTGCTTTAAAATTTAGGGAAAAAATGCAGTATTTTCCCACTCCAGCAGAGCCTTAACTTATTCTGCTTATCCCAAGTCAGACCTAATAGTCCTAATGGATTCTGGGTTTACATAAGAAAGGAGGTGTTTTAAAACCTATCTAGATTCCTTGGGCTCTTATCTACTATATAGATACGTATGATAAACAGGCACAGAGAAGGTACTCAGCAAATATTTACTAATGATACTCAGCCCAAACTTTAAACAAACTCACATAGCAAAGTCTGAAATATAGCAGAGGTAAAATAGGATAAAAACTCAGTCTACTGGCCTAACGAGTGCGACTTCCAGAAATCCCTCTTTCGTAGAATTACAGAATGTACTGCTTATAAGGAAGAGAATAATTTATGACAACAGCTATCTATGGCAAAGGAAATTGGTGCTTCCTCCTTCACTGCTGCCTGGCTCAGACAAGGTACAATCAACTTCCTGATGCCACAGCAAAGCAAAAGGAACCCAGCAGCAACTCTGCCTGTAAGTGCAGGGACTGTAATCTGATGTAAACCCAGCGGCAAGGAGTAAGCTGAGGAAGAAATAATGTTGGGGAAAAAAATGAGAAGTATTTGACTCTAAAATCTAAAATCACTACTATTCCTACTCTCCACAGTGACAGCAAATCAAAATACAAATCACCCCTGAAAAACTCAGAGGTTAGGGACATTGGACCCCATTACCAGTCAAAAATCCACACTTAACTTTAAATCCCCAAAAATTTAACTAATAGACTACCATTGACCAGAAGCCTTACCAATAACAAAGTCAATTAATACATATTTTGCATGTTGTATATATTATATATTATATCCATACAATAAAGTATGCTAGAGAAAAGAAAATGTTATTAAGAAAATCATAAGGTTCATCTCAGAGTTTTTTCAAATTGTCACAAATCTCCAATATTATTCCAACATGTTTATTGAAAAAAATCTGCATATACATGGACCTGCATACTTCAAACCAGTGGTTTTCAAGGGTCAACTCTGTATTTTTGGGGTCTCATGACTAGAACAGACCTACAGTCACTATGTTTCCTAAGTGTCCATCGGTTCACCTTCTAAGAGTTTCTCAGTAGTATCCTTTCAGTTAAATAGATGGCTATATGACAATAAATTATAATAAGCTTTTCTAAGGGCAAGTCACAATATTAATCAACTTGGTATAGTTCTCATCACTAGTGACATTTTCTTTGTTCTCTTTTAAAAACACAAGTAATAAATTTCCAATATGGAAAATAATACAAAGGATATAAAAAAGAAAAGTACATGAAAATACCAGTGCAATTTCTTTTACAGCTCACTTCTACCTCTGTGACTTTCTAAGTAAACTTTATCTTACTTTTTAAAAAAGAAAAGAAGTAAAATTATAGATCAAACTTAAGAGCTGAGGTCTTTGGTCTTTTTGATAGGCATAAAATGTTACCTACTGGTAAAACATCTACCTCTAATAGAGAATGCTGACCTGAGAGCATTTAGAATCAAAGGCGAGATAAAAAGCTTCCCAGACAAGAAAAAACTAAAGGAGTTCATCATCATCAAACCATTATTACATGAAATGTCAAAGGGAATTATTTAAGAAAAAGATCAAAACTGTGAACAACAAAATGGCAATACATACCTAACAACAACTTAAGCTAAAAAACAAACTAGGCAAACAAGAAGAACAGAGGCAGAATCATGGAGAGAGACAGCGTTTTGTATGGATGCCAGATTGGAGGGGGCTGTAGGGGAATGGGTGAAGAGGTGAAGAGATTAAGAATTACAAATAGGTAGTTACAGAATAGCGATGGGGATGTAAAGTACAGTATAGGAAATGGAGTAACCAAAGAACTTACACTCATGACCCATGAACATGAACAATGGTGGCAGGATTGCCTGAAGAGAGGGGGGGTGCTGGGTAGAATGGAGTCAAAGGGGGAAAAATCAGGACAACTGTAATAGCATAATCAGTAAAATATAATTTAAAAAAAAAAAGCCCTGGATGGTATGGCTCAGTGGATTGAGTGCTGGCCTGTGAACCAGAGGGTCACTGGTTCAATTCCCGGTCAGGGCACATGCCTGGGTAGCAGGCCAGGTCCTTGGTGGGGGGCATGTGAGCAGCAACCACACATGGATGTTTCTCTCCCTCCCTTCCCCTCTAAAAATAAATAAATATTTTTTTAAATAAAATTAAAATTAAAAAAATCCTCATAAGTAGTCCATTCCATTTGTTAAGAACAACCCTAATTGTTAAAGTTCTTCCTTACATTAAACTAATATCTAATTTCCTACAATATTCAATCATTGGTCCACTTGTCCCAGTTCTGTCCTCTGGAACAGCGGTTTTTTAAAACTATTTTCATCTACTATTACACTCCTCTCCCTCTTAAATCTTCTCAAAACTAAACCTCTCTATTCTTCAAATGGCTTCTACACCCTCCATTATTCTAATCATTCTTCTCTGAGGAAATTCTCATTTCTAAATGTGTCTCTTAGAATACCCACACTGATCACAAAATTCCAGACCTAACTGGACCAGTGCTATAACCGCCTTTGTGTGGGTCACCATGAGCATAACAGTACAAGACCAGGCACCAGGCAGTTTACAATATATTGCCTATTTAGGGACATTGTTCAGCCCATAAGTAATTTATGGTTTTAAGAGTTTAAAGAGTATAGAAAGGAAAGATGATTGAGGGACTGAGGAAATTTTCAATAAACAATGTAGATTATAAACTGGGAAAGGAAGATTGCATTTTTGATAAGCAGAAAATATAGAAAGAAAACTATTTTGGGAATACAAATAGAGGACAGTGCAGAGACAGGAATGAACCAAGTGAATACTAGAGCAAAGTATCTGTAGAAAGACAGGCAAGAATATAGAACCAAAAAGGAGAGCTGGAGTCAGACTACTTATATTAAGGGCCCTTAACCTGCATAATTGAAGGATTAGATCAAGAAACTTACTTCTTACTTGAGATGGTCAGGATGATTAAAATCAATATCAGTTGCCAATATCTACATCAAATCAAAGACTGCTTGAATTTTGACTAGAAAAAAAAAAGTTCCTAATTCAATTCTACCCCAAGACGAATAGAAATTGAGTCACCCTACAATATCATTACACAGGCTTTTTTCAGAACATGAATAAAATTCCTAATTGCCAAAATATAATGCGAGAAATTCATTTTAGAAAGATTTATTTTGATCCATTTCTGTAGGTTTCCCCAGGTTGAAAAATTTACCATTTAATATGAATGCTTCTATACAAGGTAGCTGCCTGTTTCAGTAACTAATAATCTTCAGGATTTCCCTTCAAAAGACAATGGTCTCAGCTCACGCTTCACAACTTCCTAAATCCTATCAAACAAACAACAGCTGGCTTCAGTGACTCCCAGGCCCAGCACTAGCAGCAGCCAACCTAGATTCACAGCTTGGCTTTGCCTGGGAATCTCCAAGCCCAGCACAGGTAACAGCCATCTCAGATTGCTTTATAACTCAGGCAGGGTGGCACCAGGAAAAACACAGGTGGGGGCTGACCTTGGCCTGCACCACCTGGGGACCCCAAGGCCAGTGTACCCAATGGACAGCTACAGACCATGTTGGAGCACCACCACCCTGCCCCAGCACAGCTGATCATCCACAGAGGGTGGAGGTCTCCAATCCCCCAGGTTCAAAAGAACAAAAATGTGACTCATGAACATTAAAAGGTTAAGATGTTAACTAAACAGCAGAATTTCTAGACATGAATGCTGCCAAATATACAACAAATAAAACAACAGTCCCTTCTCTGAAGTGATTTAAATTCATTTAAAAAGGAATTTGATTTAATAGTGCTTCTGCCTAAAGATTTTTTCATAAGGACCAGCTCTGTAATACGGTGTGGCAGTAGAGATTTAAACTGTCCAAGGGTCTTCAACAGCTACTGGTCTGCCGCTCTGCTTGTGTTGGCAGTTTTGACATTCCTCTGTGGGAAAAGAATTGTTACATGATTAAACACCTCTTTCTTAGCAAAACAGAAAGTGGGCATTAAGTGGCAAACACAAGATGTATTCTGCAGTTGTGTGTGGCTAAGGAGATAATCTCTCTTGAAACAAATTAAGATTTGTCACGTGTCTTGGATTAGGTTAAAAAATAAAATAGAATATTTGAGTTAAAAAAATAAAAACTGTTCAAGAGTCATTGCAAAACCCAACCTCTCCCAAATCCTGCTACTCAACAGCAGGGATCTGAAGGAATAAATAAACTCCCAGCTGCTGACAGACAAGTCTTACTAAAAGCAAAGCAAAATTTTCATTAATGAAAAACCAACCATGAAAGAAAAAAATTTTGTGTCTCATAATCCCCAGAAACAGCCAAATCCATTTTGGGTTAATGCAGACTTAACAAAACAGTGGAAGAGGACAGAGAAAAGCAGTTCTGTTCATCAGCAGCTCAGGGAAAATCCTTATCAGAGAGATCACAAACAATGCTTCTAATCCACAGAGCCAGAAGAAAATGAACTCTAACTCATCAGTAAAAAAGGTGCAGCCAGAAAAAGGCTCTTACAGATCTGTTCTCTCTCACACTCACAATCAAGCCACCTTATTCCGTCTTATCCAACACAGGTATGACACGCTGTAACTTTGAATTTCCCAAGACCAAATTCAACATGTAATCCAAAAAGAATCTTGCTTTTTCTAATCAGAAATCTCTAAAATCACAGTCCTGCATTCATTCAAAACCAGTATTGAGCTTCTACCATGTCAGGCACAGGGAATACAAAAACCTGTAAGAAACAATCTCTACCCTCTTGGAGCTTAGTCCATGCACCTTGCCTCATCTTAACCCCCAAAGCCCTCTTCTTAAAATATCTTCTTAGATGGATCAAGTGTCCTCAGTGAAAAAGCAATGACGGCCCTTCACCTTTAGTTACTGTGATAGAAGCTAAGTAAATCAATCAATCAATCACACTTACGCTCTGCCCTGGAAGGAGAGAAGCCAACACACCTTTGCAAGTCGAATATGAGAATAATCTTAGCCTAAACTACGGGGAAGGAGCATGGGATCAGAGACAAGCAATAGAGGGGAGCAAGCCAAGAAATACACTGGAACAAGGAATGTGACAGTTGTCCCACTATGCGTTCAAAGAGTGATTTAGAAGAAAGACCCTGCTACTAAGCCGACTGTAGTTCTAAGTGTGCCGGGAAGAGGAAGAAAAGAATGAAAGACTACCCACCACTGACAGACCCCAACTATCCTCGGTCTCCTGGCTCGGTCCACTCTCACTAGAGGAGAGCTCCCATCGCTGTTTGTTTAATAGAATCTGGGCCTGCCAGCCAACAACCCTGTCGCATGGCCACCGGAATGGAGAGGTAACTGTCCCTTCACAGGAGCGTGAGGAAAAACAAGAGTGGAAAGAACTCTTTAAATGTTTATAAGTTAACATAATTGTCCCCCCGTGGACACACAGGGAGTGAAGTTTGGAAAGGGTGGTAACCCGACGTCCACTGGAAGGGTGTGGGGGACCTCTCAGAGACCCCCGCCCTACCATGCCCTACCCTACACTACCCTACCTAACTCTACCCCACCCTAACCCCCCGGGCCGTGCACTCACCGCGCACGCAGAGCAGCGGCATGTTCGAGGTGACGGCGAGATCCCGCCGCGCCTCAGCTGGGTCGCTGCACGCTCTTCCCTTTCAGCAGGTGCCGCGGCTGCTCCTTCTATCGGCCCCAAGGGTCTGGCCGCTCCTCATGGTCCCCGTCGCAGGCAGCGTTCTGCCATTCCCTCCGACCCACTCCAAATCTCACCGTCTGAGGGGGTTCCTGATAACTGTGAGTACCAGCCGGCAAGCGGGGGACTGGGCGCGGCACCACGGCGCCATCGCTGGGAGGCAGGAGCAACCGGGACTCCCTCCCTCCACTCCACCCGGGATCCGCGCGAAGGCCAGGACAGAGCCAACGCCGCGGCGCCCAGCCTCCCAGCCAATCAATTCACGCCCAGTCCACAGACCCCTCCCCACCACTAGCACGTAGGAGGCGGAGTCCCCCTCCAGCCGGCTTTCCCTTCAGGCAAGAATGAGGGAAGCTCCGCCTACTAATGAAGCCTAAAGAGAGAGGGGCGGGGCTTCCCCTCACCTGTGTGAAGTGGGAATTGAAGCCCTCTTCTCCTCCCGCGTGGGCGGGCTTCCACCCAAGAACAGATTCTTTTCATTCAACAATTTCCATTGAACTTCATTAAAGGGTCTATCCCTTAGCTGATGCTTAGCTGTAATAATTTTAAAAGATCCGTACCACACAGCAGGGAAGTTTTTAATTAGCAACGACGGCCAAAAAAAAAGAAATGTCTGGAGACCTCAGTTGTTATCTAGACCTTTCTTCTCGCTCGCCATTGTGTCTTCAATGTCTGAATAGTGCCAACTATACTGATCAGTACAAAAATACCTACTGATTGAAGGATGAAGGGAACATAGGCTTTTTAAGCTGGGGACTTCTGACAAGAAGAAATATGCACATGTGATGGAAGGGGAAAAGCCCAGAGTAGAAAAGAGAAAGACGTATGGTATGATGTACAGGTCCAATTCCTTGTCACCCCAAAATTCTGATGTAACTGGTTTGGAGTAGAGTTAAAGCATTCTTTTTTTTTTTTTTTTTTTTTTTTTAAGATCCCCAGATAATTCTAATGTGATGCCAGGTTTTTGACTAGGTGCGTTTTAATGCCTCATTAGCCCAGCTAAGATTTCAGGCTGTACAAGCTCTGGACCTCATAGGATTGGCAGGAAGGGTCTATCAATCTAACAAGTCCTTGCCTTCCAAAAGCAAGCCTAGGATGATATGATTCCTCTCACTGAAATAGGTGCTATGAGAAAGTGACACTAGAAGCCTTAAGAGAGAAAGGAAAAGCATTGATATTTCCAATGTTTATCCAAATGTGGAGCAATACATTGAGGAAGACTTTAAGCAGGGTGTTCAGACAGTCTAGTCAACAGAGGTGCCTGACCCTAAGGACAATGGCCAGCCATAGGTAAACACAGCTCACCTCCTCACACAACCACATCAAAATTACAACTGCATTACAGAACAACCATCACTCAGAACTGACAAAAATGGAGTTGAATGGAAGTCTGACAACTACAGATTTAAAGAAATCACACCCATCCAGACTGGTAGGAGGGCGAAGATGTAGAATGGGCTGGTCCCACAGTCATATATGATGGATAAAAACTCAGCAAGGATATCTTTGCAGCGAGGAATCCCAGCCCCACACCAGGCCTCCCAGCCCAGGGTTCCAATGCCAGGAAGGTAAGTCCTCATAACTTCTGCCTGCAAAAAACCATTGGGGATTGAGTTGGTGGAAGAAACTGCAGGAGCCCCAAGCAGTTCCTCTTAAAGAACCCACACACAGACTTCCTCAGACTCACTCCCTCTGAGCTCCAGCACTGGGATAGCAGCTTGAAAAGCACCAGTGGCATACAGCAAGGAACTGAAGCATCTGGCATCAAGGCAAAAGCTGAGAGACAGCTTTCTCCCAGACAGAAAGGTGTGCAGAGGCCATTTTCCCTTTTCTGAACACTCCCCCCACAGAGCCACAGAGCCTGCAGGCAGGTGCCTTATCTGAGACTCCATCAATCAGACTAATCCTGTTTGCTCCACCCTGGAGATTCCCTGAGACAACATCCCACCCAACTTACTACTGGCTGGTCTTGGCTCATGCTTCACAATTTCCTAAATCTTTTCAAATATGCAACAGCCAGCTTCAGTCACCCACCCCCAACCACCTCCCTGTACTTATTGCTAAGTGGCACCAGAAACAGCACTAGCATCAGACAGCCTAGATTCACAGCTCAGCTTTGCCAGGAAATCTCCAAGCCCAGCACAAGTAACAGGTATCTCAGATTGCTTTATAGCTCAGGCAGAGTGGTCACAAGCAAAGCACAGGTGGAGCCTGATCTTGGCTTGCACCACACAGGAAACCCCAGGGCCTGCTTACCCAGTGGACAGCTACAGACCACGCTGGAACACCAACACCCTGCCCCTGCACAGCTCTTATTACTTAGGTTATAGACACAAGGGAAGGCAATGTGGCTGGGAGGTGACGATTGGCTGAACAAAGTAAGAGTCAATGTCTAAAGATATGATGCAGGCTCTGAGGCATCCCAGTTTACTAGTTGAAAGTTAAAAGGGGAGGTTCAGTTGTCTGTCAGAGGGTAAGTTCAGGTTGAACAACATTTAGCAATCACTGCCTCTACAGAGAACAGAATGGACCAGACTAATGGCTGGGATTTTTGCTCAGTAATTCAGAGGGCCCTAGGCAGACCACAAACTGACAAAGGGTGTAGAGTCTTTCATTTGCACAGATTGGGTCTGTCACAAGTTTACCAAATCAAGAATTCCAGATAAAGTGTTTCAGCCTTCACCTGCAGATCATGAAAAATATGGTGGGGATCCATCCACAGCACCCTCATAAACTGCATATTGTTACCAGAATAAAAAGTACAAAAATATATCTATATTAAGGAAAAGATATAATAAAGATATTTGTATTAGGAAAAGCTCATACTCACAAGTTTACAAGAACATCCTTTCAGTGAATGCAAAAACTTAAAGTGGTTAAACATTTGATAAGAATCAAGCACCTGAGGTTGCCACAAGGACTTCCAGCAAAGGGGCACATGGCTCAAATGCACCTCAAGAGCACTGGGAGATTAGTGATGCAGTGGCATCTAAGCCCCATGGACCAGGAAACAATAAAGCACTAATGCCAGAGAAGTTCCTGATAATAAAAAAAAAGTACAAATCATTTTTATTTAAAGACAGTGAAAAAGTATTCTCATTAAAATATATTTTAAATGCTAAAAAGAAGACAATAAGGTCCTCTGCCCTCTAGGTATTTAACCAGAACCAGTTACATTTAACAGCATGGTAAATGTATATTCCAAAGCAACTCAAACAGGGGTATAAAATCCAATACTTGAAAGTTCTTCAGCATTTAAATGGAATTCATACTTAGATTTAGCTGACAAGTAGCTATAAAGTTAGGACTCTCTGAGATCCAGAAAATGAGGAG